GAGGGCGTGAAATTGACCTGAACTTTGGTCACCGACATCAAATCTCCGAGATACAAATTTTGTACATGTTGTTGCCTTTATCAATTCCTGAAAGTTTGAAAGAGATCTGTCACTCAATGCAGCTAAAGCAGGCGTTGCAGTCTTTACTGAGGTGAGGTCACTTGACGTGATCTGGTGACCTGACCTTGAGTGACTCTGGTCTGAAATATTCACAACATGTGCAGAAACGATGCATGATAAAATGTTCCAAAATGGTGTCGCTCCGTGCCAACGTTTTTGAGATATCTGCGAGAAACCGCAGGGGAGGGGGCCTGCGGTTTCTCGCAGATATGGTACCCAAAGAGTCACGGAAAAGTATGGAATTTCAGTAACCTTGGTTGTATCACCAATGGGGTCTGGTAGGTGGGGGTAATGGCCCTGCCTGGCGCCAAAAAAAGGGGGCACGACCCCGGAGGACCTGCCGACCACTGTGCTTTTGGCTTAAGGCCGCCCTAAACTGGACCTCGCATGCGGGTTGCGAGTTTGCGGGTTTTGAGTTTGCGAGCATAATACTAATTCATAGAGTGATTAGACCGTTCCCTTGGGGTAACTTTATGAATGCAATGAAGCCGGTGCACCTTCAGAAAATTACGTAGAGTCGCAATACCAGCGCAACGAACCAAAATTCGACTCCAACGAAAAACCCGCAAACCTCGCAGCGAGGAAAATCGAAAGTTGACTCAAAATCAACTTTTGGAATGCGATGCAAGGTCGCTCGCAAGCTAAAAACATGCAGACTCGGTTGTTAGATGGTAGTGTGGGTCACTCAGCTTAGATTGTATCATTCGATTTTGAAAAAAAAAAACAGAAAACCCGAAACTCGCAACCCGCATGCGAGTTCCAGTGTGGGGCGGCCTTTACTTTAGTTATGAGCAAAATGACTTGGTTGCTTTGCAATTCAATGTATTGGGCATTCAGGAGCTTTGGAATCTCTGTGTACTGCAAGATAATATAGGGGAGAGCGGGGAGAGTTGTATCATGTCCAAGTTGTATCAGGGCGAATTGTGCCAAACTTATCCAATAGATGGAGCTCGTGACACGACCAGCCGACGACGTTTTCCGGGCGCAATCTTTCCCTGTTCTGTCGTGTGGCTGGGTGGACGCGTCTCGAGGTGGGAGCCGATTTTATGTTTTTTTTTTAATGTCATTCTAAAAAAATAAGTTGCAAGAAAATGTGTGATTTGGGCATTTACATGTGCACGAATTTGAAAGATCTCCGTAGCGGTGGTGAGGGTAGGTTCTAAGGCTGCGTGAGTGAAAATGGATTTCTCCAGCTGTCCGCTGTTTTTGAGCACGAGGATGTTTTTTCCAAGATGGCGGCGAGGTACATGTTGTATCAGAGCCGGGTGGGGTATGTTGTAACATGTATGTATGTATGTATGTATGTATGTATGGGTATGTTGCTTTTGATCGCGAAAGCTAAGCCCTGGCTCGCGTTTGTAGATAGCTAGTCAATACTCGTTCCATTTCGGCACAATGTGTTGGCTTCTTTGCTCTTAACGGGTCACTTTTGCGTCTAACTAGTCTGTTGATGTTTCGTTCGTTTGACGTTTCGATGTTTCGTTCGGATTGCATTGACCTAAGTTTGGTCTAATAAAAGTGAAGCCTTTGAGCATATGCTTTGTATTAACCCCATTTAATGTTGTTGTTATGTTCAAAGCCAGTAGCAAGCACACACCCTGAAACGTGACATACCTAGTGATACAAATTTTACCCCACCATGTAATACAACTCACCCAAGCCATGGGGCAAGTTGTATCAAAAACATTGTTCTATTCGGCAGACCGCAGAAGAAAAACTGGTAGAGGTAACGGAAAAGTTACTTGGCACGAAAAAGCAGAAGAATCAAGGAAGGAGATAGTATGGAAATAATGAGTTTATCACGGATAGTTACCAGGTTATGGGTCTCGGAGTAAAAACTGATACAACCCACCCCACTCTCCCCTATCCGTAATGATAGGAATTTATTCAGTTTCATTTTATTCAACTTGACAGTCGGACATTGTAGGTTTGACGACTTTTGGACCCACCAACTTACCTGGAAAACTCCACCAATGGCTGTAAGCGTGCTAGTTCAGCAAGCCTTCTTAACCCTATTCCTGGCGGGGGGGGGCCTCAGGAGCCCCCCCCTGAGGTTTTTTGGTTATATCTCCCAAACGCGTTGAGCTAGGAAGCTCAAATTTTCTGACTTTTCCTAAAAGGCTTCTACGCAACATGTCTGAAAATTTTGAGTTGATCTGACCTAAGGTCAGGTCACCAGAGGCGGTTTGGTGACGCTACCTCAGAAAAGTTTGCAATCACGCCAGAGCTAGAGTTTTTGACCGATCAATTTCTTCTCTTCAGGGTTTAGTAAGGGTACCAGTATGTGCAATTTGTATATCTCGGAATTTTGATATCGGTGACCTAAGGTCAGGTCAATTTCGCGACCTTCCCATTATAAGTCAATGGGGGAAAAATCAACTCCCTGTTTTTACCACTAAAACGGGTCGGAATGGCCCCATATACCATACATGACTTCATATACGATCAACCTTCACTACCTTGAGGTCTGTTTTGCTGTTGGGCAGCTGTGAGGTCATGTGACGTCATCAAAGGTCACCAAAGGTTTTTGGCCAATAACTCCGTACAGGAACAAGATACAGACGCGTGGATGGTCTCATTGTGTTCAGCTCGTCAAGACGCATCGAATGATATACATGATGACCTCGAGGTCACGTGACCTGAGGTCAACCTTTGACCTTGACCTTTCGAGGTCAACATATATATATCATTCGATGCGGATTGATGAGAGGATCACGATGATGCCCTTAGTTTGTTCCTATCTTGACTAATTCGAAAGTTATTCGAGAAAAACTCTCTCCATATCTAGTGCCGCCATTTTGACTTTTTCGACCCCTGTGACGTCATCTTTGACCTGACCTGAAAATGACCTTTGTAAAAATTGTAGATCATGGCCGTGCGTATCCGATGCCGTTTACCGCTTGTCGCTATCTTGCTTCGTTCTCGAGATCTCAGGGGGGGGGCCGAATCGGCCCCCCCCCGCCAGTTTCTTGTCCCGGCGGAGCCCGCCAGGAATAGGGTTAACTGTAGGTACAGCATATGTAAGTACAATTTAGATCATGCCTAAAAGCGTAACTGCTGGCATAATAACTCTTCCAAACTGGTCACGTAAAGATAAAACAATCGGTAACCGGACAAAAGATCGTAAAGCAGAAGATCGTATGGCAGAAGATCGTAGGCAGTTGATCGTATGCAAAATATCGTAATGGATAAAGATCGTACGACATAATGCTCGTATGGACAAAAGATCGTATTCGCTAAAGATCGTCAAGGAAAATGATGGTATGCCAAAAAGTCGTAATGGATAAAGATCGTACGACATAATGATCGTATGGACAACAGATCGTAGGTATTCGCTAAAGATCGTCAAGGAAAATGATCGTATGCCAAAAAGTCGTAATGTATAAAGATCGTACGACATAATGCTCGTATGGACAAAAGATCGTATTCGCTAAAGATCGTCAAGGAAAATGATTGTACGCCAAATGATCGTATGAGATAAAGATCGTACAGTCAAAATATGGTATTTACATGGTGCAGCCCAACTCCAGCGCATACAAAGCTTATCAATTTCTGTGTTCGCGTAGTAAGTGGCCGTCGTAAGCTCGACCATACATTGATGTTATTTCAGAGCTTAGATGGCTCAATGACACCTCAAAGCAACGCGTTGTATATGTGCCGAATAAATGAATGTATGTGCTGCCGTTTTCATGTACCTATTTGAAGTGAATACAACTAAACCCATGTTCCCCCCCCATCTCCCCCCCCCCACCGCCTGGAAGGTTAAAATGTTGCTTAAGCGGCTGAAGTAAACGGCGTTAAAAATACTTTTTCCTTCGCACTGTTACATTTTCATATTGAATCGTCATCGCTTTACGAGTCATCAACAGATGTTTATCGCGTTATCACTATCGAAGTCGCAATTCTCCTAGTTAGGTATAGGATCCTAGTTTCAATCCAATCCTAGTTAAAGGAGTGATTGTTATCGAAGGCCGGTTAAAGATGTCAATTGTCCATCATTGGTTCGAAATCGCCCCAGTAATTACCGAGTTACTGAAATGGGAACAAATTTGGCACCTCTTCTTTTTGTATTTTGCACGTGCATTGGGGGTCACTCACATAGATCAAGGGTATCCGACCTTTGGTAGAAGGGATGCAGCTACCCTATAAAAATTACCGCAAGACAATCGCTCAAGCCGCTGCTGAGATATGGGCCTCTCAAAACCATTACTTTTGCAAAACTGCTTGAACACCCTTGACTTCTCACGTGGCACGTGCCACGACGGCCACTGAGATGTATCAAAAGTAGTCAATTACGGGGAAGAAGGGATGGGGCTACCCAGAAAAAAAGACCGCAGGCCAATCGGTTCAGCGGTTGCTGAGATATAAGCCTCTCAAAAGCGTTACAGGCCGGGCCGGGCCGGGCCGCTCATACTGAGATTTTCCCGTTATATTCAAAAGACGTAACGTTACGATCCTTTGTCGAACGATCTTTTACAACATACGATCTTTATCTTACGATCATTTTCCTACGATCTTTTTTGTACGATCCATTGCTTTACGATCTTTTGCTTACGATCCTTGGTCGTACGATCTTTTACGACATACGATATTTATCTTACGATCATTTTCCTACGATCTTTTTTTCATACGATCAATTGCTTTACGATCTTTTGCTTACGATCTTTTTGTCGTACGATCTTTTACAACATACGATCTTTATCTTACGATCATTTTCGTACGATATTTTGCATACGATCAATTGCTTTACGATCTTTTGCTTACGATCTTTTTACGGTACGATCTTTTACAAAATACGATCTTTATCTTACGATCATTTTCGTACGATCTTTTTCCATACGATCTTTTGTCTTACGATCTTCTGTCACGTAATCAAACAATCGCAGAATACGAAGTTTATTTTAACATTAACTCCACCGCATGTTGCTGCATGTGAACTACATACACAAATGAGTGTCCAGAAAAAGAAGCCCGCACGTGAGCGCTGTCGGCATGTTCCAATCGACAAACAGTGCACTAAAGGAGCGACAAGCCGTCAAAGCCGAGCATTGCCCGAAACTTCATTCAACTCATCAATGAGATAGTATACCTACTACGTCGAAGTAGTTATTACACTGACGTCGCGTCCCAATTACTAAGTCCCGAGCGGCGGGCAGCACTCCCCGCCCTCCCGCTGAGCGGCGGGCAGCACTCCCCGCCCTCCCGCTGAGCGGCGGGCAGCACTCCCCGCCCTCCCGCTGAGCGGCGGGCAGCACTCCCCACCCTCCCGCTGAGCGGCGGGCAGCACTCCCCGCCCTCCCGCTGAGCGGCGGGCAGCACTCCCCAACCTCCCGCTGAGCGGCGGGCAGCACTCCCCGCCCTCCCGCTGAGCAGCGGGCAGCACTCCCCACCCTCCCGCTGAGCGGCGGGCAGCACTCCCCGCCCTCCCGAGGGACGGACCATCAGGCCGGCCATGCGGGCGCGACGTGACGACAGACGGGTGGCGATGAGCGGCCGCTGGTGGCGGGGACTGTTCAGTGCGCTGCCATTTCCATTGGGAAACACCTTGACCGGCCTTATCTCGGCTGACCACATGCAATGAAGCCAATTTAAACACGCGAAAAATATGAGAGGTTCAATACTACGCGCATGGCGATCCCTCGCTAGCCCGCCAAAAGTCGCAAAAGACAGTAGGCTCAAGGCGAGGCCGGCAGTCGGTAGCCTGGCCCGCCTGCGTCGGAGCCTATAAGAACTCTGCGCACCAGTCGTCCAGACACTGCCAGCAGTCGGTGGCCTGTTTGACGTTGCACCCAATCAGGTCCTGCAGCCACTCCACGAACAGCTCCTTGTCCTTCTTCAGCACGAGGAACTGGCCCAGCACGATGTAGGCCTTGTCGAAACCGTTCGCCACCAGCTTTTTGCCGTTGACTTCGGCGATGCCAGCCAGAGCAGTGACCGGCTTGTCGCCCATCGGCTCCGCCACGAAGTTGCGGTGCTTCTGCGTCGTCGAAGACATCTCGGCGCTATATACTTTAGCGATTCGGAAGTGTATCAGCTAGTAGAAATAAAATCTGCAATGCAAAGACGAGACATGAGAACGCAGCATCAATGTAACAGAAAAAGGAATACATCGGGAGTCAGCTGATAGGCATACCTTAGAAAAAGAGAAAAAGCAATGCGCATTTACAGTGAGTAAAATGCGCAGGCACAGCAAGGCTAACAGTGTTCCACAATTCTCTTCACATATGAATCGATATGTGACCTAACTGTATACCAGCTTAGAGCAACCTTCAATTTTTTTGCGAGGATATTGCGCTGGCAATGGGTGCAAAATTTCCCCTCCCATCAGTCTGACAAAGCCCACCCACAGACCCAATACCTAATGTACAAAAATGACCAGCCATCACTTATATCTTATGCCATAGCGACTATATGACGCAACTCCGTCACTGCATGGAAATCTTGCAGCCAAGTCACTCAATGTGATCGATGGCCCTAAGCAACACACACACGTTTCGGTGTAAGCGATTCCCGGCTACAGCCCTGTCGCATCACGCCGGACTGGTATGAACGCCCTACCTAATAATTTGTAGAATGAAATTTTCTCCAAATTTTGCTCGGCTCTCAAGCCGGCTTCCAGGCATCGGCAGCCGGGTTCGATGGACTTTGACAATAAAATGCATGGCAAGCGGCAGCAGGTGCCTCTCATCTGCGGATTGTTTATTTTGATAAACAGAGACAAATGATGGTGTTGATTATCGGTAAATAAAGACAGTTTACAGTACAGGCCGGTCGGCCAGTGGCGTGGCTGGGGTTCTGGGCGTGGCTACTCGCCTCTCAGTGAGCGCCCGGCGCCGCCGCGCCGTCCAGAGTCTGCAGCGCCTGGTACTTGGTGAGCAGCTGCCGCTTCAGACTGAGCTGCTCCCTCAGCGCCGACAGACGGTGCAGCTGCTCCGCTCGGTTATACTCGATGCCGGCAGCCTTACGAGTCTGCAACAGACCACCAGTCACGCAAACAAATGCAACATCACAACGCACCTGATTGTCAGTGTCCGTAGTTAGGGGAGAGCGGGGCAATGGCGGACGGTGGGTAATGCCGGCCACCCATCTCTAGTGAGTACTTTGTCCATCACTAATCAACTGATGTTGTTTACATTTAAGTTGAGCGCCATTCTAGCACGTGGTGCAAGTTTGTCACGGTAGCTCCATTATTTTCATTTTTATAGCATTAAATGTGTTTTTCGTATGATTTTTAATTTTGTTGCATCTATTTGCTGACTGTGAAATGTGTTAACGCATTTTCAGAAGTGCTGCTTTGCAATGACCTTCAATTAAGCCTTTCTTAGGCGACTGCTGGATGTGAGGCGTTTGCGGCGCAATGCCTTTTACTACTGCCTGCTTTCTTAAAATAAAGCTGACCTCGGGGTAATACCGGACACGTGTCCGGAATGACTCCACGCGGTTTTGTTTGCGACTTCTGTCGTTAAAGCTCAACGTTTCGGGTTGCTGTGTTTACGGCTGTGTTAGTTTGCTTCCTGTGTTTACGGTTGTGTTAGTTTGCCGCTCTGTTGGCGCCGCGCTGTTGTGTTGCAGCGAGTGCAGTGCTATGTTGCAGTGCAGTGTACTGTTAACTGCTGAATACAGTTGTCGTTTCTTAATTCTCACTTAAATTTCCATCGAAAGAACGGTTTAAGGATGAATACCAGTGACGATATTTCGACTTTTTGTGCTATTGCACTTAGTGGCCGGCATTACCCCACGCTTTTTTGCACCTCCATTTTTCACCACATTTTCGCGTAGGCTCTGAATCTGTCATCAGTGATCTGAGATACTAAAACTGGGTGTTATCTGAAAGCCTATTCCTTTGGCTATAACCACAATCAAAATCACCACAAAATAGCTTCAAATAGCTAAGTTATTGAGCAAAATGCTTATGGTGTCGCCATTGCCCCACTCTCCCTATATATTGTCAAATGAAGACAACCTTATGCAACTTTTGGTTCTTGGCAGAAGCAAAGTTCGCATAACTATTGTTACAGACAAACATGGTAAAAATAATTAGCAGTGAATACTTCAGTTAAGAGGTTGATGCAATCCTCTTAAAGGTAGACTGCCACCTTTTTTCCACAAAACGGTTTTCACTAGAGCTGAGCCACCTATGTCCCAGACTGAAGTCGGTTTTCCGAAATTCGAGCCCGTTTGCGAGAAATCGGAGACCAAAGTTCAGTTTGATGCCATTTTTTTAGTCCAAGAAAACCGACATCTCTACTGTTTATCGATAACTTTGAAACATGAATTTTCTTATCTTTTGGTAAATATATGTCAAAACTTTGATTGTTTCGAGATCAGAGAAGAATTTTGGAGTGTCAAAATAAAAGTTAAACTTATATATTCAGTAGTTCATTTTTTCCAAAAAAGTGTGGGAAATGGGGTTTAACATGGGCCAGCCAGACCCATTCCAAATGAGCCATGATTTTTAAATGTTTTACGAACTTAAATGCAAAATAAATTAAACATGGCCAATTTCTTATGAAATCATATATTAGTAAATCATAAAATACCTTACTTTTTCAAATAAAATGTAATAATCTTATGACCTTGAAGTCTAGTGATGTGTAAACATTGTCGCTAGACATTAACCGATTGATAATTGTATGATAATCGACAATTTTTTTCGCGATTCACGTGATGATACTTTGTCAGGTGAATTCTAAAATTTTGTTTTGTCCAGGGAATAAATCATAGGACGATCTGAGAAAACTTTTTGAAGGTGGCAGTCTTCCTTTAACCCGGCCGGACCCGGGGGCAATCCCAACAACGGCAGCCCGGGGAGGGCGTTTTTCGCCCCCCTTTCTAACTTCGTAAATTAGGGAGCTATGGAAACAACAGCGGTACCAAACGAAAGGTCCTTACGAGACGATTCTAAAGCACTTGATTGTTAAATCAAGTGCTAAAATTGTTGACCTAAGGTCAATTGTCAAAGGCAAAGGCAAAAACCGGCACATGTAGAGTGATCTCAAATTAAGCGTTCTAGAGGACGGCAGGATGCCTAAAACCGGCAAAATTGGGTGTCAAACGAAAGAAGAAAATATGAGGATTCTAAAAATGTGCTCAAAATTAAAGGTGAAGGTTAAGGTCATGCTCAAAATTGACCTCAAACTTCGCACATCTTAGCACATCTTGCGTGCTAAATTCCACGATATTTTGAAATGTTTTGAGGCTTACCAGGTCCCTATTTGTGGTTCATATTACGACACTAGGCTGCTCAAAGGTCAAGGTCATATAAGAGTATCCTTGCTAGAGACTATTTCACTGATTCAAGTTCGTTTGCGAAAAACTAAAACCACAGATCGGGGTCGCTGACCTGATCTCAGGTCAACAAAACTATTTTCTATTTCTCTCTAGGTCAAACGCTACACAACCGTGCTCGTAATTGTCTTTGCCTCTAAAACTTTATATTTTGCCTTAAACCGAGTTCAAAAATTTTACGCAAGAATGAGATGGATGTAGCATAAGTACCTGATGCCAACTACGCGGCGCTTCGTGGCGTAGATTTTGCTACACACGTAAAAGCTTAGCCGATCACCCTCCCCCCACCCCAAAACCCAGGTTGACGGTTAACCCTCGCCCCGTTGGGGGGGGGGGGCATTTTGCCCCCCCCCCTGTGGTTTTTCCTGAATAGCAAGAAAACGGCGGCGCGCAGCGCCGCCAACTTTCAGTACCTTCCCGGGCGTCAAGTTGACACATTCACACCGAATTTCAAGTCTTAAGTCACCTTAGGTCAGGAGTTATTGAGGTCAAACTGAGGTCATGTTCAAGCAAAAATGAGCAAAAAACATGCAATCTTGAAACGCTCACCAAATTTACAGTTACCAAGCAATTTCAAAGTTCTTTATATGGTCTAGTAGACAAAAAGCGGCGCTACAAAACTGTTATCTCGGATTTTCAAAATTTTGGGTTTTTGACCCCTAAAAATTCGAAAAATTGATTTTTTTAAGAAAAACTAAAAAAAAAAATCCAAAAGAAAATCCGAATTTCGAAAAAACCGGAATAAATATGATAGTCCCTGTGCTCTTCTATATACATACCAAATGTCAGATCGATATCTCGTTTTTTGGCCAAGTTATGGCGAACAAAACTTTTGTCAAAAATGATGACGTCAAATTGTTGAACTCAATTTTTAGCGATTCTAGACCACGTAGGGCAAAACAAAGACCACCATTGAACTCCCCGTGACGAGCTGCATCGAATCGATACCCATTTTATGCAAAAATATTAACTTTGAAATTTGACCTAATTTGACCTGACCTTGACCAAAACATGACCTAAGCTGGCCCAAAAGTCTGCCTGACCCACATAATCGCATTTGCCATGTAAAATGGACCATAAAACATGTATCACACGACACTTTCATATTGTGACGTGACCCCCCCCCCCCCCCAGTGACCTGACCTCTGTGACCTGACCTGGTATCAGTGACCTCAAATATCAAAATATGTGTTTGAAGAACATTTCCCCATCGATGATTTTCAATGAAATGCATTTTACTCGATTTTACAACGCATTTCTTGAAATGCCTGTAAACGGTGAAAATTCGACCTTTGACCTGACCTGTGACGTCATCGGTTTGACCTAGGTCAATAAAATTGGGTCACAAGGTAGTTCCCTGATAGGGCTATCCAACACCGTTTGCCGCTTGTCGCTAGGTTGCGTGGTTCTCGAGATCTTAGGGGGGGGGGGGGCAAATTGCCCCCCCCCCCAACGGAGCGCGTTGATCGGCAGAGCCCAACGGGGCGCGGTTTAACACGCGCAGTGGAAGGGTTGCGAGTACTACGCCCAGTGGAAGGGGGGGGCGGATGTCGCCCCCCCCCTAAGATCTCAGCTCCCACTGGAGCTAGAAAGACGAAATTTGGAGGGTAGGTGGGGGCCATGGGGAACTCTGTTGTGTGTGAATTTCATGACCCTAGGTCAATATCTTCAAGGTCAAATGAGGTCAAATGTGGTTAAATTTGCCATATTAGCGACTTTTTTGCGTTTACACGCCGATAACTCAAAAAGTTACCGGCCGATTTTTTAAAATCTTTCACTATACGAAAGAGCAAACATTTGTGAGTATGTATGGTGAATTTCTAGATAATCCAACAATAAATATGGCAGTTAGAAGCCTGCGAAGGGTAAGATGTCGCCGGCTGAAGCGGCATCGGCCGACGCGGGAAACGCGGCAATCACAATTTTGTGTTTACACACTCATAACTCAAGTTGTTACCGGCCGATTTTCAAAATTCTTTGACCATATGATTGCCTGTACATTTCTCAGTCTTCTCACCGAATTTGACGCAAATCTAATATAATCAGCGGTAAGGAGCGCGATGTAAAGACGGAACCGTCCCGCCCCGGCACAGTCTACAATTCAGGCGGCGCGTAACGGCTAGCGCCGGCCGCCGCGCCGCCGCGGCGGCAGGATGTTTGACTTTACACCGCTATTATTAGAAAAGTTGTGAACCGATTTTCTTACTTCTTGCACGAGAAGATCCGCAGTTCAATTCTGGACAGGTAGCCGAAATTTCACATTGATATTATGCTTGCGGCGCGAGTTATTGGCGAAAAACAGGAGGGGTGGGCGAAATCCGCCCCCCCTTCCACTGCGCGTGTTAATGTTATGACCCGGCAGTGTGACTTTGCCCCCCCCCCCCCCCTTCGCTAGCGGCTGCGACCGCCAGTGTCTAGCTTTAAGAGCGATTGCCGTAGTTGAATGTTTTGCATCGAAATCGGCCGGAAATGACGTCATTTCCGGCCTATCTATGGTAGCTACGAAATTTTGCTTTGATACAACGTGTCAAATTGATGCAGCCGAAAGTACTGAAAGCTTCGTGTTGATATGCCAAGCGATTTAGGAGATATTGCAGAAAAAGGAGAGAGGGAGGGGCTATGAATAGCCCCCCCCACCCCCCCAGCGGGGCGCGGTTTAATAAAGCATTCTGGATAACTTGTCCGACATGCACCACAAGCGCTCAGTCAACGATCGAGAAAGGCGCGATGCCAGAAGTAATACAGACCTACCTGTTCTCTCGCCTTCTCGAATTTCTTCTGCAGCTCGACTATCTTTTGAGCAACTTCTTGTGATGATTTATTCACATCAGAAGAGTCCTTTTCGATTCTGCAAAAGTTGAAATTGGTGTAAAAGTTATGCAGACACTGAGACACCATGAGCTAAACACGAGGGGCGGCCGGCCCGCACCACCGGCCGGCAGCCCCAGCCCGGTGTCGCACGTCTACACAAGGCGGCACTGCGGCGTGGACGCAGACAAGGCGAGCTCGGCGGCGAGCGGCAGCATTCACAATCCAGAGCACACGGCCTCATCTAACCCCGTCCATGCTAATCTAACCTCCACCTATTCCCAAAATAATCCTGCCAAACACCTACCTCGGACGGAGAGATAGGCTAGGTTTACCCTACCTGTAACCTTGGCTTACTTTAAACTCAATGTTATTAAAAATTACCGCATTTTTGCGTTAACACCTTAATTCTGAAGCCTTTCTATCTTTCTTATGAGTGTTTTTTGCTTAGACGTCTCTCATCTCTCATCTCATCTCATCACGTCGATTAAAAATAAGATGACCAAGTGACATTTGGGGCATTCCACGATAGATCGACCAAAGACATACACCCTCATAGGTATGTTTTTTTTTTTGTATAATTGGTGTATTGGGTTGTGATGGGCGGGGAAGCCAGCTGCAGGCGCGGATACAAGGGGGGGGGGGCATGGGGGCCATGGCCCCCCCTTGGCCGATTTTTTTCAAAAATAAAATAAAAAGTTAAAAAGTTAAAAAGCTGAAAAGGGGGCCTCCTGAAAATAAAGTGGCCGAAATCCGATGAGTTTTTTTTTAACTACCCACTTAGTTATTTCTTAGAAGACTAGCTGAGAAGACTTCTTTGTTAGAAGATTGGTAAAGCTTTTCATAACTTGGAGGTCTCTTATACTCACAGAGATGACCACTTTAACAGGGCCTCCTAACCTGCACAGAGGGCCTCCAAGCCTGCACAGATGTTGAGATGTTGCCTGAACAGCTAGATAAGCTCAATAAACGCAGTTTTTTTTTGGGGGGGGGGGCCCAACAAGTGGGAAGATGGGGCCTCCAACAGGTGGGATTATGGGGGGGGGGCCTCCTGGTTTTTAATGGCCCCTCCCTTGGAGATTTTCTGGATCCGCCCCTGGCCAGCTGTGGCAAGGAACTTTTTCTTCGAACAACGGTTTCCGAGATATAGACTCGGGCAATTTCTGGAGGTCACGCTGCAGCCCTATGTTTGGCGGTTCAGAAACTATTGGTTTTCTATGAGGACAACTTTATATCGTTCAGCTCGCAGCCAACCAACGAATATTTTGGCTATCTCGGATTTTCAATTTCTGAAAATTTTGATCACGTGACCTCTTGGCATTTTTTCGAAGAGTGACCTTGATATTTTCCCCAACGAAAGTTGCAATTTTGTCTGATGACGAATAAAGCCTTATCAATTGCTATTCATATGCGATAATAAAAAAGTGGCTTTCGGCCTGCGTTCACCTCATGTCAGGTCATTTTTGTGACCTGCCCATTATTACCAGCGGGAGTGACAGCGATATCTCGAGAACAAAGCAAGCTAGCGACAAGCGGTAAACGGCATAGGGTACACACGGACAAGTTGTTCCGTTCTTGACCAAGACTTGGTCAAGTTGCCTGCCCGTGACGAGCTGCATCGAATCGATACCCGTTTTATGCAAAAATATCAACTTTGAAATTTGACCTTATTTGACCTGAACTTAATCAGAACGTAACCTAAACTAGCCTCAAAGGTTGCCTAATCCACATAATCCCATTTGTCATGTAAAATGGACCATAAAACGTGTATCAAACGACACTTTCATATTGTGACCCCCCAGCGACCTGACCTCTGTGACCTGACCTGGTAACAGTGACCTCAGATAGCAAAATATGTGTTTGACGAACAATTTACCATCGATGCTTTTCAATAACTTACCAATTTACTGGATTTCACAACACATTTCTTGAAATGCCTGTAAACGGTGAAAATCCGATCTTTGACCTGACCTGTGACGTCATCGGTTGGACTGAGGTCAATGAAATTTGGTCACAACTCACAAGGTAGTTCCCCGATGGGGCTATCGAACGCCGTTTGAATTTTGAAAATCGGCCGGTAAATTTCCGAGATTTTAGGGGGGGGGGGGCCGAAACGGCCCCTCCCCTACCGTTGGTAGGGTTCACCGATACCCCAACGGGGAGCGGGTTAATAGAATAGTGAACACTGAACTGTAATATTTGAGCATACAATTCCATATTGTAGACTGCGTATAAAAGCCAGCTCAATCGCAGTCACATCTATGAAAGCTACAGTGCAAATGCCGGCTAGCAAACCAGAAGCAGTTGATGCCCTACTGGCACGTCACATCCGAAATTACGACGAATACATGACAATGTCATAGTCAGGTTGTTGAAGTGTAACAGCCCGAACCGTTCAACGGCGCGACGCTACAGTGCTCTACATGTATTGTGGTATGGGGTTTCCATGGAAACATCAACAAATTTGGATGCACTAACTAATATCGGAAGGCATCCAGTTTTGTTGACGTTTCCATGGAAACTAAATAGTAAATACCACGATAGCGGTAGCACGCTGTGGTGTCGTACCGTGGAACAGGGCCCCAGACTCCGGAATCATCTGTCTGGTTAATACCTAGTCTTAATTGCGAGGTGTGCACATGTGCTTAATGTAAAAGTGGCTTATTTTTGGCGCAACTAAGGGTATTAGTAGGTATACCGTAAAACAGGGTGTTAACCCGGCACCGCCTGGGCTATTTCCGTACCCACGACAGCCTGGGGGGGGGGTCGGATCCGACCCCCCCCCCCTGTTATCTCAAGAACCAATGGTCGTATCGAGCCCCGCGAGGCGGCGTTCGAAAGGTCTCTACGAGACCTTCCCAAAGCACTCTTTAAGATTTTAAGATTGAGGTCAACTTTCGGGTCAAGGTCAGGTCAAAGGTCAAATTCAGGGGTTTTGCATGAATCGGCTTACGGACAGCGGAATCGATAGCTGCTGCTCGAAACTCACCAAAAAATGATCTCAAAGGCCTAGTGAAGGTACCATGTGCGTATAGGGGTCATACTAAGTACGGGTCAAGGTCAGGTCAGGTCACGAAAGGTCACGGTTTGCACTTTCTGCTACATGGGCGTGCGACACATGTTTTATGGCTTATTTTTCACGCCGAATCCGATGGTAATGGTTATATGTGACCCCCAAGTCACTGCGCTGGTGATAAGTGTGCATTGAAAGCATAAAAAATCGTTTATACTATACATAACTAAACGAGGGCTAAGAAAAAGGTCAATTTTTCAACTTTTTATTTTTGACATAAAAATGCACTTTTCTAGTCGAGCTTTGTCCCAGGAATCTAGTGGTGCCATTTGTTTTCACATGCGATGTTCAGAAGTGCCTCTAATTCACGAAAATGCTTATGACGTCACCATGCCCTATGCATGTTGGAGCTATTTTTACAATTTGGGGGTCAAAAATCAAGATAGAAAGTTGAAATTTGGGGCATCGAATGTTCTAATAGAGCTCTATAACATATATTCCGGTTTTTTGGAAATTCCCAAAACTTTGGATTTTATTAGCTGTTTTCCAAAAAATAGTTTTTAGAATTTTTGGGGTGAAAAACGCATTTTATGGAAAATCCGAGATAGCCATTTTAAAGAACTCGTTGAGCTGCGTCTTTTCATGTCCTTAACCCGCGCACCGACGGGGGTCTGCGCCAACTTCGCACCGACGGGGGGGGGGGGCGGATGACCGCCCCCCCCCCCGAGATCTCGAGAACGAAGCAAGATAGCGACAAGCGGTAAACGGCATCGGATACGCACGGCCAAGATCTACAATTTTTACAAAGGTCATTTTCAGGTCAGGTCAAAGATGACGTCACAGGGGTCGAAAAAGTCAAAATGGCGGCGCTAGATATGGAGAGAGTTTTTCTCGAATAACTTTCGAATTAGTCAAGATAGGAACAAACTAAGGGCATCATTGTGATCCTCTCGTCAATCCGCATCGAATGATATATATGTTGACCTCGAAAGGTCAAAGTCAAAGGTTGACCTCAGGTCACGTGACCTCACGGTCATCATGTATATCATTCGATGCGTCTTGACGAGCTGAACACAATGAGACCATCCACGCGTCTGTATCTTGTTCCTGTACGGAGTTATTGGCCAAAAACCTTTGGTGACCTTTGATGACGTCACATGACCTCACAGCTGCCCAACAGCAAAAGAGACCTCAAGGTAGTGAAGGTTGATCGTATATGAAGTCATGTATGGTATATGGGGCCATTCCGACCCGTTTTAGTGGTAAAAACTGGGAGTCGATTTTTCCCCCATTGACTTATAATGGGGAGGTCGCGAAATTGACCTGACCTTAGGTCACCGATATCAAAATTCCGAGATATACAAATTGTAGCTACTAATGACCTAATAATATCCTGCGACTTTCAAAGGCCTCCGACATCTACTGTAGCTATGGCACGGTGACAAAGTTGCAAAAAAGTGCCTTGAGGTTGGGTCATTCAAAGTGGCCTGGTGACCTGACCTTAAAAGGTAGGAGGTTCAAACTTGCACACCATGTGTAAAATTAATGAGGTTATAGTCATACCAAATTTCGCGGCGCGTAGCGCCGCGGTTTTCCCGCTATTCGCGAAAAACCTCAGGGGGGGGGGGCGGATATCCGCCTCCCCCGTCGGTGCGCGGGTTAATTTGCAATTTGCTTTAAACCCTGATTTTTGGCGATTTTTTAAACATTTACCATTTTTTGACTAAAAACGCCATGTAGTTACATCACTAAAATCGATATATCTCAAAAAATTTTGAATTTTTTTTCTTAAAAATTGCACAGGAGACGTCAAATTGATGGGGGAGAAGGTATGCCAAGTTTCAAGTAGATAGCGAAAGTGGTTCATGAGTTATTCAAGAAAAACGGAGGGGGGGTCGGATCCGACCCCCCCCCCCAGGCGGTCGCGGGTTAAGGGACAGCGTGGTGCTAAGGGACAGCTGCGTGGGGAAAAACTTTGAGTGATATTAACCTTCCAGGCGGTGGGGGGCAAGATTACTTTACTAGTGGGGGGGGGGCATTTTTTTGCCCCCCTTTGTTTTTTCTCGATATATCTCCAGAACCGCTGCGCCGATCGTCGCCAAACTTTCAGTGCCCTCCCGGGAATAACTTTTACACATTGTGACCAAAATTTTTCCAAAGGCTATGATAGGTTAGCCGCTAATGACGGAGTGACGTCATTTCTGCAATTTTCGACCCAAAAAAGGTTTCGCGGAAAGAGCTGCCAGGCCTACAGCTTTAGAGACACAGAAAAATGTTTTTGACATAAAAGGTGTAAAAGCAACAGAGCTGTAAAACTGCTATCTCGGATTTTTGAAATTTCTGGATTTTGACACCTTTTTTTTGCATTTATAAAAGCAAAACAAATCCCAAAAGTTTTTTATATTAATAAAAGGAATAAATGTGATATGTAGTCCCTACCTCCTTTTAACAACATACCAAATTTGAGATCGATACCTCTTTTTTGGCTAAGTTGTAGCGGAAAAAAAAATCAAAATTGATAACGTCAAATTTTCAAACTTAATTTAGGCAATTCTAGACCACGTAGTGCAAAACAAAGACCACTGTTAGACTCGCCGTGACGAGCTGCATCGAATGAATACACATTTTATGCAAAAATATCAACTTTGAAATTTGACCTTTTTTGACCTAACATTGACCTGACCTCTATCAGAAAGTGACCTAAACCGTACCTGATGGTCTTGTAACCAGCACCTTATAACCACGAGGAAGGTGGCCGGGAGGCCCACCGCCTGCCTGGTTAAGTTTGTAATTTGATAAGGTCAAATAAAAACTTGAGTGTGGTAGTTGACATTGTTTTGTTCTTGACTGTAGGACAAAATGGCATGGTTTTCATGCAAATGATCCGTTTCAAAAATGGTTTTGAAAATTATGCTACATTTTCACAAAATTGAAACATCTCTAAAACTGTGTTTACCACAGAAATTAGTAGGTGTACAAGGAAAATGAATGCATAGGTGTATTGTCACATGTATTGCACATGTTTCATGAAAAAGTTATACAAATCCACCCATTCCTTCATCATGCTCTTCGTCTTTTCCAGATAGGTACATGCCTATTTTGAGGTGGCAGTGGCGGATCCAGGGGGGGGGGGCAAAATGGGCATTTGCCCCCCAAACGGCATGATCTTAACATTACGCCTATGGACGATGCATGGAAAGAATCGATAAATTTCTATGGTTTGCCCCCCCAAAAAAAACTCTGAGCTGGATCCGCCTCTGTGAGGTGGAAGTGGGGTTCTAAGGGACAGAAAAAAATAAAAAATATGTATCTAAATATAATTTCATATAGGTACTTTTCTTAACAGTAGGCATGGAAAATACCAAATTCCACAAAAAATGCTGGCACGTTCATGCTTTTATCTCTAACACATCTCAATCCTCAAGTTATATAGGTAACAAAATACCTCAAAACTCCCATTACACTCTGTTTTACAATGATGGGTCAATGAAGACTGATGTAGATAGGTAAATGTGATCGGTTATCATAGGAAGGCCAAAACAAAGAGGACAACATAGTGACAAGTGACTAGCTTCAAAGCGGGTTTTTGTTGACAACAGACAGGTACTTTTTGGTTCTGTTTACCTACCTACCTTATAATAGGCACATTTTCCAGATGCGTTAACTGTATTACATGTAATTGGCTAAAAAGGCCATTAGTGGTGATTGGTGAATGAATCTGACCTGTTTTGTTACAGAATATGCAAAACATTTCAATAAATGAATCGTTTGCCCTTTCACACACCAATTGTGGGAATTTGCCGACAGTTCTTGAAATAATGTATGCGTCCCTACACTCCACATTGGGGTGTTGAGGGACAGTGAAGAAAAATGATGAAAAAATATCTGCAGGCATATATGTTTAGAATTTTAATGTAGCAGGTATGTAAAGCACCAAATGCCACATAAAAAGCTAATAATTTGATGCTTCTATCTCCAACCCTTATGCTTCTATCCCCAACCCTTATTGAGTCATAAAAGGAAATGCCTCAAAACACCCCATTTTACGGTAGGTACAAAAGGTCCAAATAGGTTTTAGGTTCGTAGGTTGCAGAATAGTTGGTAAGGTAGGGTGAGGTTAGATTGTTTTTATCTTCATTCTGACTTCTACACTTTTACCCCAGACTAGAAAAATACATGTTATGCTGAATATGTCCGGCATAGTGGCAGGATTGAGCTAAAAATGTCAGTGTATGTCTGGCATAATTTCACATGCGCCAAATTCAGCGCATAGTGGGTGGTGGCCGCATAATTGTGTCAGTGCAGGGTGGCCAGCAGCCGCTGAATTGTTCTGCAAAAGGTGCTCACCAAATTTTTATGCAAGCTGGTCAATCTAGGTGCACTCACCCTGTGTGCGGCTCTGAACTCTGAAGAGGGTCAGAACTTCAGGCCCAGGCCTTGCTTTACTGCAAGATGCTACAGCAAGTGTGCCACATGTATTGTGGTATTTGGTTTTCATGGGAACATCAACTAATTCAGATGCTCAAACTGGGGAGAGCATCCAAGGCCCCGGAACACTAGGTATGTCTGGTTGATATAGCCTTGTTGATAGATCAAGATGTGCACATACCTATGCTTTATGTAAAAGTGTTTTTTTTTTGGCACATATAAGCACCCAACTTTCAGCACAAATCAGCCAGAAATTTCAACTATAAATTGCTTGCATCAAATTTCTGAGCATGAGGGTCTCAAGGGCATCCGGTGTAGGCAGTGAATGGACGTTTCCCAGTCTGGCTTTTACCCAAATAAGCATCAAACTTTCAGCAAAAATCATACGGAAATTTCAATGCAATATCACCTGTGCCAAATGTTGGAGTACGAGTCTCACAGGCCTCCAGCATAATGTATGGATGTTTTCCAATCTGGGTTGCCTTTGGAAGGCAATCAGTTTACCAAGTCATAAACATACTATCCAAGTGCTATTTTGATTTTTGTTGATTGAGTGAATAAATCTGCACCTCACCACACACCAGTTGAGTGCCTCTGCACCACAACATCTCTTCAAGATTGGCATGCTCCACAGGCTGCTTCTATGTTCAATTATACAAAGCAATACAAAGTACAAAAGGTACCATAACCTAGAAAACATTCCAGTCCAAGTCATGAATTACCTACCCTCTAATTATGTCGTAAATCACAGGAAGGAAATCAGCGTCTAATCCGTCTACTTTTCCCGATGAAGCACCACTCGACATAACCACTCAAAAGATCAAGATAACCCGAAAGTGCAATGAATGAAGTACAACATTCATGAGTTAAGTGTAGGTAGAATACGGTACAATCGGTACAATATAAGTCATCAACTGCGGCGTTTGTGGTGCGATTTACTATCCCCGCGTTCGATGTCCCTCGGACGGGGAAGATTCTACGTCGTCCGGCCAATCCCGTTCAAGGTCAGCGGGGGCTCGGCTGCGGTTATGGAATGTGATTGGCCGGACGAAGTAGAATCCTCGCCGACCGAGAGACATCGAACACGGGGTAAAAATTCAGGCGGGAAAATCGGGCTGCAGCTCGTATTTGGAAATTCCCACAGTGTATATAAATACAGTGTCGGCAAATGAGCCTGGTCACGTGACCGGCGGACTCGCTGTTTTTCGAGGGATCCGCACGTGCGGTTGTGGCGGGGGCACCACCCGGTAACTGTGGTGCCGACTCGCTCTCGGCCCCCATAGGGATACAATGGGACCTACTTTTTGATTAGCTCTCCTGACTAAACTAGGACGAATTTTTCAAAGATACAACTAGCACCACATGCAGTCGTGTGTAAGCTTTCTAACGGTACCAAAAATATATTTTTATCGGCAAAATTGAATAAGTACAGGCCCATTTTAGGTTCGATTCGCGCTTATGACGGAAGAGAAGCCACCACTAATTATAAATACAACGAACAAGTGTTGAAAACCGGAGTATAAATGCAGTTTTGAATTACATTAAAGCCATTTTCAGTCACTGCAACCGATGAGTGGAAGTGATCGGTGTATTAGGTCACCCGTTACCGTTAGGTATTACTTTTTAACTACCTACCAACAACACCCATAGGTATTGTTCTGATCTATTCCAGACAACAAACTAAGGTTTTGTGTTGAACTGTGCCAGAAAGAGCAGTTAGATCAAATATGGATACGAAGGTAAATAGGACTATACGAGCATCCATGTTGATACGTTTATGCTGGAGCTAGTAGTTGATAGGTGTTCCGTTCTATTGATGCGGGCAAACAACGAATCGGGGTTGTCATGGGCGAATCTGTAGGTATAATTGTGTCTTGTATGAAACATGCACGGTATCTGCAAATACTAGAATGCTGCTGCTAAGCTGAAAGAAGGCTCAGCCGGACTTTTATACTATGAACCGGCCATGTTTAGTTTATGCCGGGCTCGAGGGTGCAGTGTTCGTCACGGGCCAGCCAACCCACAGAACACAGCCCATCCCAAGCGGGGCCCATGGGCGCCGAACCCAGCCCAGCTCAGGCCCATTGAATTTCACACGCTTTTGAGGCTTTTATGGCGGTCGCCGGAATAGGCAAATGGTAGATCAACTCTTCAAAAATTGTTTCAATATCTACTTCGCTGGGAGGAAATGAGCTTTGATTGTCAAAAAATGCAAAACTTTGCATTTGTTACAGGCACAACATCCGAAATGCAACGTGTGCTTACAGTTGTACGCCCGTCCTTAACATGGTTGTCATGAAAGTTGGGGGAGGGGGGAGGCGGCCGCACGTTGAGGGGTCACAGTCCGGTATTTTGACGCCCCCCCCCCCTTTACCGCCTGAACGGGAACCTTCACTCCATCCCGTCCTCTGTATTAACCGCCTTTAAGCCCGCCCGATGACCCTGCCGTTTTCAAAGCCAACCTGAGCTGAGCAAGATAATTCGGTGTAAACGTCGACAACTGCAGTGAGTTGTGTGCAGTCCCGGTGTTCCGCTACAACATTATTGCACCTCTCGTTTTCGCCATCATCGACGCCGTGCACTTCCGAAACATGGATGCTCCGGGACAGTTTGAAACAAGTAGATGTCCTACACGGACGCTTTGCACATCCAGTGTCTATACATATTTCCATATTTCAAACAAATCGAGCAGAAAATATTATAACGAAACAGTGGCGTACAGCGTACAGCGTGCAGCGGGGATATCTGAACAATGCACCATACATGACGAAGAGCCAGCAGACCCTGGTGCAGCTCAAGACGGCGGTCGTTGATACCACTCTTGTGCCTGCGCCCAATGCGCGCCAACGTTGGCGGGGGGGGGGGGGGAGCAGTGAGTCATTCAATACGTTGAGCTACTTTGAACATGTTCCATAGCGGCCTGACAGTAGCAAATGTGTGTTGGCTAGCTGCGCAACTGAGTAAATTTTCACACAATTTTACTTCCTTTGATTTGCAAATCCTTTTATCTGGTAAACATGCTTTAATTAAGTAGAATGATAATGAAGTGATTCAGTTTTTGGAAACGTTTCAGAACAAAACATATTAAAACAATGTCTCATACGTATTATCAGAATAACAACAAAGACCGCCGGCCATCGGTCATGAACACCGTTCACCTGTCACTATCACTGCCAGTGGAAACGCACACACACACGCGCGCACACGGACACACACGTCAGCCGCAGTCAGTTACAGGTAAGTTCCCAGAGGCCTCTCCGACGGCGGCCGGCCGGCTCCCAGAGGCTGCTCCGACAGCGGCTGGCCGTGGCTCCCAGGGACTGCTCCGACGGCGCGGCGGCTGTCGCTACCAGGGGCTGCTCCGACGGCGCCTGGCGCGCCGCTCGCAGATCCTCCTTGGAGTTCTAGCGCGCTGATGGTGGCTGTGTGATCCGCTTTCCCTTTCTGAGCTTGGTGTAGCACAGGCGACCTGCAACCACATCACAAAAACTGAGTTTGTGAATTTGAATCAACTTTGAACTGAACCACAACTATTATGTTTTTTTATGAAGATTTACCAAACCAACAATTTCAACTTCCACACTGCGCTGACAGGTATACACATAATACACAAATAAAGGCAAAAACCGTTTTTCCACTTCTTCCACTTGTCATCAATACATTTTGCCCAAGATATGAGTGTGCAACAAGTAATACATATGACTAGCCTGCTGCATCGCTTTGATGGCTTCGTGCAAAATGTAAACCTAAAAATTTCGCTCTTTCTGATTTATGGCACATCACTTTTATGCCAATTTATTAACTTTTTGGAAGGTGGCATTGTCCCTTTAACACAGGCAAGCCCTTGCCGAGCCCGGCATATGCCCGGCCTCCTCGAGCTTAGGCCCGGCAAAAGTCCGGCGGGTCCGATTTTAAGCCCGACACCGGGGCCCTGTTTCACCGGTGATAGCAGCACGATGCTTTTACACGTGTCAAATTGGGTTTCCATGGAGACATGAACAGGCCCATTGCTCCAACACTACCACAAGTGTGACGTCAGCTCGCGCAATTTGATAGCAGCGTGGTAGCAGCGTCCCGTGAAACACCGCCCGGGCCCGTAGGCTCAAGACTTGCATCATTACTATGCATATACTGGTATGGTAAGCAACCTGGCATATGAGTTGGACTCAAACAATGAAGTTAAGTGGCTAGTGCTTACCGGAAATGAGCAATCTGGTACCCGATGTCCCGTTGTACTGGAAGAGTGTTGGGATGCAGCTGCCCTCCTCAAAATGACAGGAACAGAGCTGGGAAGTGCTCCTGGGAACTGCATCTGCACGTCTGTAAATGACAGATGCAACAAATGTAACAACTGGCATACTGTTCTTGCATGTGGACTTTTACATACAAAATGCCTTGTGTTTAGAGGTAAGATATTGACTCAGACAGCACAGCCACAGCTTCTAAACAAGATGGTATCACTGACACTGTATCATGTTATTTTGGCTCCAGAATCCAGAATCAGAAGGTTGACATCCTCACCTAGCAATCAAAATGTAGTTAATTGGCTTTATATCAATGTGAGGTGCTAAGAGTGAACAATTATGATTATTTACAATGCTTCAGAACATGGTCAAACCTTAACTAACCCAACCTACAGTGGTTCGCTAGCAACATTCGTAGCACGTCTTTTTTGTACATAGTAACTGGAATATATGCTAGGTAAGAGTACCTACATCTTTTCTCTTTTTTTTTGTTAAAGAGGTATGCATTTGGCCTGTAGCCTATAACACACCTCTTCAACCAAAAATATTTTCCTTACCCATCCCAACACATCCCTTAGAGCTGCCTGCGGCATTACACTCAACGGATTACCAGGTCAAAGCATTACCTTCATTAGGTAACTTGTGGTAAACATGATAAGCTTTTAATGGATTTCATGTTCTCTTTCCTGTAATTAGTTTTATGCAATGGATTTGATTTGTTATGCTCATTATGATCAGCACAAAAATAAAACCTTTATATAAATAATATTTTCTGTATTTTAATAAAAGAAGAACTATATTTGGTAGTAGTAAAGCAGGCGTCACACTTCTTTTTGCAACCAAGGAGAGGTGCTGTAGGTTAGGTTGTAGGTTCTAAGTTGTAGGTACCTAGGTTGTAGAGTTTAGGTTGTAGGTATGGCTAGGTCAGGTTTAGTTAGGTTTGTTTTGGCTTGGTTCAATTAGAAAGCATCTCTGGGTATAGCACCTCTCCTTCATTGCAAAAAGTAGTGTGACGCCTGCTTTACAACTACCCAATATTCTATAGAAAATATTGTTTGACGCGGAAGCTTGCATTGATTAATCATGTTGTAAAATTCAAACCCATTGGCTGTTAGCAGCATGCCAATGCTGATTAGCTGACGATGACATGGCTGCATTCCTCAGCAAATTCCTCAAGAAGGCACTTTTCAGGACGAGAAATGGAATCTTTGGTATTTATTTACTTTAGGTCCGCATAACAGAGGGGTAAATAAAAGTCATTCACACGATACTCTAAGACCTCCTGATTTCATTTCTGATACTTATTCCTTCTAGAAACCAATTAAAAAGCACCAGTACACTAATATCACCAGTATCACCACAAACGGCCCCACCTCCGACCGGACCCGGAACTGCACGCGTCAAAAGACCGTCTGCGCGACGCACCCGCTACAAATGGTCCAACCAAGGTTGAGCGAAATTACAGATGATCATAAATTGTAAGGAAAGTGACGTCAAAATAATCGTGGCGGAGCGGTGCAGTGCCGAAAGCAATGCCTTAGGAGAGATTACAGGCAATGGTAAGTCAAATATTTTTAGGTTAAGTGGTTGTGTATCTGGCTTCAGGCCGAAGGCCTGAAGCCTGATGCATAACCACTTAACCTAAAAATATTTGACTTACCATTGCTTGCAATCTATTCATGCAAGTCACTTTTTTCTTTTCCCCCGGTAGGCAAACATCAGTAGGTCAGGTTAGGTAAGGTTAGGTTATGTTCTGATCATTTTCTCATGCTCTATTACCTTTGCTAAATATTTTCTCTTTTTTTATTCATCGTTTTTCTTGTGCTTTGGTATTTTGACGTCATTTTCATAACGTCGAAAACTAATCGCATCATTTTTTTCTTTTATAGGGCAACGTTGTATGTTTCGTTTTTGTCGCGGAAGCGTGCTTTCTCTTCAGTGTGTATTGTGCGGCAGTGCTGTGAAATGTGCTGGGGTTTTAGTATCTTATTTTACATTTTTGATGCATTTAAGCATCATATCTGAATTCAGGACATCAAATAGTGTAAGAATGTGCATTTTTTCTTGTTAAAAAAATATTGCGGACCTAAAGTAAATATTTACCGAATCTTTGCCTATGGTGATCATTGGGCTGTAAAAGCTCCTGGTTTGTGCTTGTCATTACATAACATTTATTACATTTATCATTACTACATAATGTATTGCATTTATCAATACAGCTAACAAGGACACATCTGGATCTTACCAAGGACACATCTGGATCTTACCTGACAGCCCTCACCCAAGCGACCCTCATCTTCTCCTCTCTTGGAAACCTCCTAAATGTACCTACATCTTGCAGCAACACAAAACTGAATCAGAGTAAGAGCTCTGCAATCTGCAATAAAATACTAGGCAGGTCACAGCAAAATACAAGAGAAAAGATTGAAAATCTGATACAAGCTTAAAATTGTATAAGATTTGGAGCAAGCAGTTTGTTGACGCCATCAAATGTATCAACCGCGCAGTATTTGTCATCAAATTTTGGTGCCGAGTCAAGGTCAAATGTCACGTGACATTTGGCCGACAGTTGGAAATTCCGACCTAGACGAGCATCTGTGGTAGAAAACCACCACTTTGGTAGGGGAAAGTACTGCTGTCAGCTACCATTTGCACCTATAGCTGTGTGTCGCTATAGCTGCGACATCTATGCATACAGGGTGGAAAGTAATTACGCGAACATGTATTTTCTTACAATTTCGCCTGTCAGTGGAGATTTTGCATGAGCGCGGGCTGTTATGGAACATGACTGGTCGTGTTTGTTGTCGCCTCATCTAACAAAAGTGACCTTACTTTGAAAAATGACTTGGAAGGTCTACAACACCTCTCGGCTTCGAGTGGTGCTGACGCCATACGCTGCTCAAGACAAAAATGGGCAAAGAGATCAATTTGAAGTTGCCAGGGAAAGCGTTTGTGATTAGGGGAGAGTGGGGCAATGGCGACACCATAAGCATTTTGCTCAATAGCTTAGCTATTTGAAGCTATTTTATGGTGATTTTGACTGTGGTTATAGCCAAAGGAATAGGCTTTCAGATAACACCCAGTTTTAGTATCTCAGATCACTGATGACAGATTCAGAGCCTACGCGAAAATGTGGTGAAAAATAGAGGTGCAAAAAAGCGAGGGGTAATGTCGGCCACTAAGTGCAATAGCACAAAAAGTCGAAATATCGTCACTGGTAAGTGGTATTCTTCCTTAAACCGTTCTTTCGATGGAAATTTAAGTGAGAATTAAGAAACGACAACTGTATTCAGCAGTTAACAGTACACTGCACTGCAACACAACACTGCACTCGCTGCAACACAACAGCGCGGCGCCAACAGAGCAGCAAAGTAACACAACCGTAAACACAGCAAGCAAACTAACACAGCCGTAAACACAGCAACCCGAAACGTTGAGCTTTAACGACAGAAGTCGCAAACAAAACCGCGTGGAGTCATTCCGGACACGTGTCCGATATAACCCCGAGGTCAGCTTTATTTTAAGAAAGCAGGCAGCAGTCAAAGGCATTGCGTCGCAAACGCCTCACATCCAGCAGTCGCCTAAGGAAGGCTTAATTGAAGGTCATTGCAAAGCAGCACTTCTGAAAATGCGTTAACACATTTCACAGTCAGCAAATAGATGCAACAAAAATTAAAAATCAGATACGAAAAACACATTTAACGCTATAAAAATGAAAATAATGGAGCTACCGTGACAAACTTGCACCACGTGCTAGAATGGCGCTCAACTGAAATGTAAACAACATCAGCTGATTAGTGATGGACAAAGTACTCACTAGAGATGGGTGGCCGGCATTACCCACCGTCCGCCATTGCCCCGCTCTCCCCTATTTTGGCTGGATTGGTGCGGAAGGGACTCGGAACGGTCTCGGCACCAGCATTACTCAATTACACGTTTGGTTGAAGCATAATAAAACTTAAGAGGACTTAAAAAGCAAAGCCGTTGGCGGCAGTAAAACCTCGGCGAATTCAGGCGCCGAATGGGTGGTCACCATTTCCGCGACCAAACGACAACAGTCGACCCGAAAACAGGCGAAATGGTTTACTTTGGCCGGGTACCCCATCTAAGATATCACGATTCATACATAAATCCGTGAAAATTCGAAAATCAAGCCGTACAAACAATCGAGATGGCCAAAATTCATGAATTAACAGCAGGATAGTCAATTTAAGTTTTCTTAAGACCGCCAAACCTGAACAGAGGAGGACAGGCAGCTGGCTTTGTGGTTGGGTGAGACATCTTCGAAGCTATTTCATCCGTCAAACCTGCAGAACAACGCGTTGGGGGCTGCTGATGCGTCCGACGTCCCGCCCGTCCCAACCTTCAAACATCCGGCAAAGGAACACACATCAGCGTGTTATGAGCGCCCGGATGGTGTCAGAATTGCATGTAGTGACCAACAAGGCCACAAAAAATAAAGTATACAACTAGTGGAACATCCTTCCAGACGAGTCTCTTTATCTAATCCATCAATGCACCAAAAGGGGCAAAATGATTGAGCGCACTTTTGTGCCCGACGCAAAGAAACTCTTCTTCATGATTGATAAAGTCCTTCCTCTCACGGCCAAAAAGACGCAAGACTGGTGCTTTGAGAACCCGTTCTTCTTCTGGGCATATAATGGTCAATCTGGGAATAGCCCAGACCTCAATTTGATCAAAAATATCCAGGCGACTCTTCAGGAGAGCGTCTAAGAGCTGCTAGTAGCCACTAACATCGATTGCCTCACCAGACAGCTCCAGGAGGCGTGGACTAAGCTTTGGCCAACAGTGCTTGACATGCTCATGTCAATTATGCCTGAACGCCTTTGTCAGTGTATCGCACATAAATAGGAATATATGAAAAGATGAAATTTTCATGTCACCGCCGCTTTTTCCATTGCTATAAGACGAAAAAGTATGTTCGCGTAATTACTTTCCACCCTGTATACGTATAAACCGCGACATCTGTGTGCCCTGATTCTAGTTAGCGATTAGCTAGGGCACCAGGGTGGATCCCATGTGGATCCAGACTTACAGTTTGATCAGCAGGGCCGGGGTGCGGAGCCGGAGCCGGAGCATGGAGCCGCGGAGCCAGCATATTTTGCCCGGAGCCGGAGCCGAAGCCGTGAAACAATATAGCCCAAAGCCGGAGCCGGAGCCGGAGCTGTCAAAAAAGGGGACGACTCCGGCTCCTTTTTTTTTAAAGAGGAAAAAATTATTGACCTAATATATGTACCTATAGGCAATAGGCATGTCTTTTGCGGCATCATATTGGACCTTCCTTCCCCCCCCCCCCGATCAGCAACTTTGACTGCCGGGATCGGGCCGGCCATGAGTCCCCCCACACTGAAACTGAAAGTCTGGATCCACCCTGGGGCCTGGTGCCCTTGCTTAAAATCAACACACACAGATGTCGCGGTTTATATGTATCAGTACCTAATTCAGTATATGCATTGCATAGATATCGCAGCTGGGGCATTCCACGTCAAATCAAACACCGAAATCCGTCATCCCCTTCGATTTTTCTGTAAATTTGTAGGCAGACTGGGCATTGGTTCAAAACTGAGTTACGTACAATATTTTCGAAATTTGATAACGTATCGCTGAGATAGGTATAGGTCATCGAATATAGCGAAAAATGCCACACATCAATTTTTTAAATGGCTTTAACTCTGGTTCCTTTTCTGGTATCAAAATGATACCAGTCTTATAGGCAATTGATAATGCTTTGATTTTTAATTATAAAATTAAATTGAAGTGACCTTGAAATGCATTTGACCTTGAAGGTCAAATGCAAAAACAGAAAAATTTGAATAGCAAAAAACACGTCACCTTCGATTTAGGTAATTTTTACATATTATGTCCGTCACAATGTTCCTAACCATCTGTGAAAAAAATTGGAGTGGGCCATTCATAACTTTCGCGGCAAACGCCGTTTTCATGCATCAACATCACGCAACCGCGCGTGACCTTGAAAGACAGAGTCAAGACATGCTTGCTTGTGTACACTTTCTGAAATGAATGATTACCTACTGATTAGTGATATCCCAAACTCTGCGAGAATGGAAATACATAGTCATCGTAGTCAAGCATTCACGTTCCATAGTAAAAGTGTCTCAGACAAACGGTATTTTGCGGTGAATTTTGAGCCGTGTGGAAATGCATCATGAAGTAAATTCCATAGGCGTAGGAACAGGGGGGGCCAGGTGGGCAAGTGCCCACCCACTTTTCGAGGTGGGGGGGCCAACCATGTGTTTTGACCCACCCACTTTTTACTCGAGGCCCCTCGTCTCGATTTGAAAGGACGTAGTCACCTTCTAGAATAAACAAACTCGGTAAAAATAAGTTCCACGAATCCCCACGCACGGACTCCAAGGGGCCGTGATGGATCCAAGGAGGCCCTCTGTTCATACTTGTCAGTCGAAGCCCCTGAGACTGATGGCCTGAGAGGCCCTAGTGGATCTGAGGAGGCCCCAATATCCACACTGGTCTGGGGAGGCCCCTGACACTGGCGGTCTGGGAGGCCCCTCTATCCACACTAGTCAGAGGTCTGAGACTGGTGGTCTGGGAGGCCCCTCCATCCACACTAACTAGTCAGAATAGGCCCCTCAGCCCCTGACACTGGCGGTCTAGCCGAGGCCCCCTACCCTCACTAGTCAGAGGAGGCCCCTCTATCCTCAATAGTCAGAAGAGGCCCCTGAGACTGATGTTCTGGGAGGCCTATCCATCTACACTGTAATCAGAGGAGGCCCCTGAGACTGATGACCTGAGAGGCCCTTATAATGTGCTTATAATCACACCAGGCAGAAGAGGCCCATGAGACTGATGAACTGAGAGGCCCTTCTATTCATACTGGCCACAGGAGACCCCCAAAACTTTCGGTCTGGGAGGTCCCTCAATCCGGCACCAGTCAGGAGAGTCCCCAGAGACTGATGGCCTGGGAAGCCCTTATATTCGCACTAGGCAGAGGAGGCCCCTGAGACTGATGGTATGAGAGGCCCTCATATTCACACCAGTCAGAAGAGGCCCCCGAGGCTGATGGCTGTGAGGCCCTTCTGTTCATATAACTGGCCACTGGAGGCCCCTGAAACCGGTGGTCTGGGAGGGCCCTCTATCCACACTAGTCAGAAGAGGCCCCTGAGACCGATGGTATGAGAGGCTCTTATATTCATACTGGCCACAAGAGGCCCCTGAGACTCATAGTCAGAGAGGTCCACTCCTAATGAATGAATTTGAGGGGGCCCTCTATCCACATTTACACTTTTCTAGGGAGGCCCCCGAGACTGATGGTCTGAGAGGCTCTTCTATTTATGCTAACCAGAGGAGGCCCCTAGGATTGATGGTCTAACAGGCCCTTCTTTTTATACTAGCCAGAGGAGGCCCATGAGACTGATGGTCTGAGAGGTCCTTCTATTTAAACTAGGCAGATGAGGCCCCTAAGAATGATAGTCCGAAGAGCCATGCGGCGGCAACTGGCCGTGGCCATATTTCGGCTCAGTAGGGGCAGGGCCCCACAGAGCTCATGAGAGCACCTCAAGGGCTCCTAAGTAG